ACCTACTTGAGTAAAAATCTAAGCATCACAAATTAATACTTGAGTAAAGTACAAATACCGAAAAAAATGTACTTAGTTACTTTCCACCTCTGATTAAAGTACCTGTAAATAGTTGAAATCTGAATTATTTTACGCTACGTCTAGACTGCATCCCTCTGTTGACAGAGGGATGCAAATCAAGCACGTCGAAATTGCTAATGAAGCAGGGATTTAAATATCCTGTGCTTCATTAGCATAAACATGGCTGCCGCTTTTTTCAAAATGGAGCTTTTTCAGGAAAAAATGGCAGTCTAGATGCTGGTCTGACAACCTGACATCCTGTAAACCTAATTTTTTTTTTTTTTTTTTTTTTGAGGAATACAGGATCTGTTGAAAAAGGGTTTATTTTCGACAGATTTGTGTCTAGACTGCTGTTTTTTTCGAAAAAGCTCCATTTAGAAAAAAGCGATGGCCATGTTTATGCTAATGAAGCACAGGATATTTAAATCCCTGCTTCATTAGCAATTTCAACATGCCTAATCTACATCTCTCTGACAGAGGTGTAGTCTAGACACAGCCTTAGACTTTGCCTGGGGGGGGATGGGGCATGCCCTGCTCCCTGGGCTTCAAAGCCTCCGCCGAGTGCCGCAATCCCCATGCTGACTGTCTTCACTGTCTGGGGGCAATGGTGAATTTAGAGTTAGTTCAGCTTTATTTGGGGGGGATCCCCTGGGGATCGCTCTTCCTGCTCCTCCTATTTTTCATCCCCCCCCTCCCTTCGTTCTCCTATATTATAAGTAAATTAAGTGAGGTACCTTGATTTTGGGGGGGGTGGGGGTCTTTTTTCTGCAGGCCACTTGAAAATTGGTGAGGGTATCTGTGGCCCACTTACTGAGCTTTACAATAGTTAGCTCATGGTACAAACAATATTTGGAAAGTGCTTTGCATAAGAGCACTTTATTAAAAAGAAAAGAAACATAATCTTTCCTCAGTCCACCTGAATGGAGTTCTCAGAGCACAATTTGAGAACTTGTGGTCTAGATGAAAGCTTGTATTTGCATTAAGTTAACGTGAAATGTGTAAAACGCATAGATGATGCATGAATGGGAAAACAAAGTTAACTTCCACTAAAGAGACTTACTCAATTTGGAAAAAAAGAACAAACCTTATTCAAATAACTTTCTTCACTTTTTCTTTATAAAATCATCAGTTAAGTTATGGTAAGTAATATGCTGTAAAGAGGCACTTTCAATTGTCAATATTTCTGAAATTACCAAATGTTCCTGACTCAAAATTATTTGCAAAATACAATAACTCGTTTCAGTACAGAAAAAGAATGTTCACCAGAAGCATTTGTAACAGGCATTGTTAGAAACCATTCTGAAAATATTTCTACATTTGGAACAGTTGCTTACAAATCGTCACGTACAAGTTGATACAAATC